AACTACAAATAAATATTTCTTAAACACAAATATTACTGCTCTGTGGAGAAAATGGGAATTTCTGACCAGGATTTGCCTGGCCTTAAGAGCAACCATTGTGTTTACACATAAGAGCCTGTTTGCACATTCTAGGGGATGTCTACCAGGGACAGAGTGGCTGGTCAGTCACAGGATTACCCGCCCAGAGGAGGAGTGGAGAGGAAAACATTCATTCTCTCCTCCCCTCAGTTCCTGGTACATAATTGGTCAGGCGTCCACCAGTCACCAGAGACCCACCTACAGAGTTCCTCCCAGTGCTAGGGGAAGGGAAGTAGAGGGCTGCTGGTGAGACAGGGACCATGGATATAGTCAGAGTAGGGTGAGGGCCTCCGGAGGGGGCAGGGTGGGATATCTGCAGTGAGAGCAGTGTAACTACATGCAAGGAACACCCCCTACTAAAACTCTATGTTAAATATTGAGCTCTAGAATCATTCTTCAGTGACATCAGTTAATATTCCCCAGATAAAGAAGAGTAGCACATGTTTTATTATGCTAATCATTTGTAATCATGTGTAAGATTCACTTTAGCATACTAAAAGGCCCAGGCCTATGTGCTGTCTTTCCTCCTCCAGATCTGACAAGGTGATTTTGCAAACTGAGCAACTAACTTAGCATGCAGACCCAGCTGTAGACGGCATAGTAAAAGGCATGAAGAATTCCATCTTAAAGATAAGATTGCATTTTAACACCCAGGAAGTTCAAGAGACAGGATTCTTTAGCAAGCAGACAATACCTCAGCCCACCTTGGGGGCTGGGCAGGCAGCCTTTTGATATGCTCCCAGACCAAGGCGCCGGTGTCCCAGAGAGAAATCAAGGCAGGAAATTCCTTACAGTTAAGTTAATTTTTAATATTCAGGGAACACTTAACAAGTCCCCACCCCTAAGTTTTTTCATGTTCTCGAAAAATCCTCAACTGCCTATAAAACCCCCAGACAACGCACCACTACAGACTCTATTGTCCCCTCCTGGCATGAGCTGGAAGCTCTGTCCTTTCACTTTATCTCTAAATAAAAGCCTGTACCTTGCTGTCCTACCTTGACTGTTTGTGAAGCTCATTCTTCGGCTTGGCAAACAAGAATCCCGGCATCACTGGGGGAGCAGAGAAAGGAAGCCTGGCAGGGAAACTAGGAGAGAAGGAAGGATGGTGGAAGAAAGCCAGAGCAGACAAGAGACTTGAGACCTACTGCCATGAGAATAAACCCCCTTTTACCCTCAACTTCTTGCCCTTGCCTTTATTCGGTCACATCGAATTCATAAAAAACTTGCCCTGGGTGGGGAGTCCCCTCCTCCAAGAGCAACATGCTCTCAATCACAGAAGCTAAAATAAAAGCTGAATTTTATATGATGCAAAACTTGCTATGATCCAGTGAAGCTTAAAGACCAATAAAATCAAGACAAAGAATTTGCTAACAATATTTATTTCAATTCTTGATTATGGCTTATTTGAAATGTTTTAGAAGATGAGAACAAGAAAACAAGAGACTAAGCTCATAAAATTTATATTAGTTCACAGACTACACAGTTACTAGATCTATAAACAAACAATAAAGTAAAAGAGGAAAAGTATATGAAACAGGCAGTCCCTAACTTTAGAGCAGTCTATATACATGAACACTCACTGTGGAATTCTGAACTTTTTCCCATCATGCCAAAATACCACCTGCAATAGACAACCACTCACATCATTTTCAATCATTCCCTACCATGACTGCCTTGGGCCTCCTACCTGAACCTCTGCTGAACCAGCTGCCTAAACCCTAAGACTTCCATCTAGCTAATTATTTTCTTCAGTTACCTGAACTTGGGTATTTGACATAGTATTACAGATTAACGAAAAAAATAAGGAAGTTGTAGGCTAACCTGAAAACCATTTAGAATGTCATTTCTGTATGAATTTGAAACTATAAATCACCAACTTAATACTCAAACTTCTGGAATTCATCCTATTTTAGAATCTGACTATGAATATAACCAGCCTAAAAAACAAACCCAATTATTCTTGATAATGCAAATGTTTATAGACAATGTATATTATGAAATAAGTTTCAAAATTTCAGATCTATCTACTTTAGGAAAGGCTGACAAAGGTATAAATTAAGCACAATGCTGAATAAAATTAATCTGTTTGAGCATCAATAATTTAGAGACCCAATCTCTCTGATATTTATCTCCTTATGGATCAACTTCTATGTATTCAAATATGAAGTTGTGAGAAGTCCAGGTGACTAAAATGATTCTCTCTCTGAGGTTTTCTGACTCATCTGGTTTTAAACTTTAATAAGCCTAGATGCCTTGCTTAGGCATTGAGAGGACAATCTGCACACAGATTTATCACCTGTAATAGATGAGATTTAGGGGATTGAAGGTTAGCAGAATATCCTAACCCAAAATATGCCTCTTTGACATAAGAATTATTTTAAGATGACTGAGAAACAAACAGCAGACACAGGAAAAGCTCTGAAAAGAGACTAGAAGTTACTATTTTGGAAGGGAAATTCACATTTACAAAGGAAATCTCCATTTGAAAAGGTGTCTCCCTTTCTCACCTGGAAAAGGGTAACACTAAATCACAAGACAGTATTACCAGAGAATCCTATCTATGGAGAAGGCTCCTACACTTAAATCTGCAAAACAAACCTCTTGTTTAAACTTGTACCCTCCCATAACAGGCCACCTCCCCACCCCAACTCCCACCCTCACTTTCTTGTCTTTAGCTGAAGATGGTATTTAAAAACCCACATTCTAAACCATCTCAGAAATTTGCTGATTTTTCTCTGGTTATTTGACATATATACTGTGAAAAAAGGAAACCTCACTGACATGGAATCAGGAGGCCTGCTGGGGAACCTCTCATGCCTATCACTCCCTGCAAATCTCAAATCCCATCAGAAAAGACCAGATGCCATACTGTTTTAGCTACTTCACCAACCAGCAGGAAGGTTTCCATCCTGCCCCCTGCAACAGTCCAGCTAATGAGACTGTCACAACTCAACCAATGAGAAGTCATGACACATGGGACTCCAAGTTTACTCTAATGAACTTTTTTCCTTATAACAGCCCTCTTAACTCAGCCATTTTCCTCTATGAAGGAATGTTCCTTTCTTTGCTCTCTGAACACGCCTGTGGTTTTGTTGTAACTTTCATGTCCCAAACTGCAATTCTCTGCTATTCCCCAATAAACCTGTTTTTGCTGGTAAATTAACCAAATAAACCAGTTTTTGCTGGCAAATTAACTGACTATTGTTTTTAAGGTTACCAACATGTTAATAAACTTGTTTTTCTCTTGTTAATCTTTTATTACAGAGATCTCAACCAAGAACTCAGAATGGTAGAGGGATTATTTTTTCCTCCCCTACAGGGCTCTGATTTCAAAACAGGGGGGTGTTAGAATTCCCATAGCTTTTGACAGAGAAGCACATTACCAGTCTGCCACCTTTCTCTAACCTGAAGAAGGCAACCTAAACTCCTCTTCCTTCTACCCATAGTTGGCCACTGTCCAAGTTTTAAATTTCAAGAATCATATATAATTTTTATGGAGCTGTTTTTGTTTCTTGTTGTAAATGTTTATAGACAGTTAATATGTATGCATTTAACAAGTTAAAAAGTTTCAGATCTGCCTACCATAAAGCAGGTAGCCATTTTAGAATATGGCTGCAACTTTATTTACTTTTTACATTGTTTACTAACTTCTGAATTGGAATACTGTCAAATATTTAAGACCTGAATAGTTAGTTTTTACAATATCCCCAAGCAGAAGGTTACATATTGGTTCTTTAAGATACCATCTAAGTAAATGATCTAGTAGAAAACTTTAATGCCTTGGGCATAATTAGGTCAGGAAATTAAAAACTGCCAAATATCAACACACAAAAAGACTGTATTCTAGATATATTACACAAAAATACATATTAAGCCTGTGTGCATATACATTATGTGGTAAAGGAAATACACCTGTGCTTTCAAAATTCAAGGCCAGTCTTAAAATTTAAGGATATTTACTTTAAAAACACTTGTAATAAACATACAATTATGGAGGGTAATGATGAGATAATGATGAGAAATGAGCCAAGCCACTTTTATGTTAAATTTAAAACCTGAAAGAAAATGCTTCTTCTTTCATAAATAAATTTTAACTAGATTATGCAAAAGAGTTGATTCACTTTCATAATGCAAAGATGAAATAATCAACAGGATATAATCAACAGATACATTTACAATTCAAAGGAATTGCTAACAGTTACTTTTTTCATCGGAAAATGAATGGAAAGAAGTGCTGTATTGTGACCGCTCTAACACTGTGACTGAAGCACTCCCCACCAGAGATTTCTAAATCAGTTTGCAAAAAGTTACTCAAAGTAACATGTTCAATATTAAATTTTAAACCTCTCAACATTTTTGTATTCTGATGTGAAATCTCAAATTGCTAACTAGGTGCTACTATTGATTAACCTTTGGCTGATCCTAGGCTGTAGGACCCATCTGTTTAGTCATCGTTATATCCCAAGTCCCTAATGCTAAACCTCATACTTGACAGGTATTCAAAAGATATTTATTGAATGAAGTCAGCCTTTCAATTGGCTTGTTTATTGGTACTCAATTCTATTTCAAACTAAATTTTACATTTGAAAAATCTGAAAATTCTTATAGGCTTTTGAAGTTTGTCTTTCTATTTATAAAATTCTGAAAAAAGCTCCCTTTTATCTTTTATTGTATTTAAAATCAGAAATTAAATATTTGATTTTTTTTTCAAGTCTATTAAAATGTACTCAGACTACATTGAAAATCCTAGGGTTTTAAGTATCTAGAGTTTGTGGTCAGGGAAGAATGGCACAGCCAAAGTACCAGACCTAATAAAATACTGGTTAGTAGTCCTTCTTTGCCTTTTATACTTCACCTGAAACATGAAGTTCATAAAATCTAAGATGATTCTAATTTAAAATATTTTAAAGCACTGGACTTACCATTATAGGTTATTCTTGGCTTTGTTAAACACATCACAAGATGCAAATCCATTTCATCTGAGGGTACAAATTTTGAGCATACAGGACACTTAAATCCTAAAAAATTAAAAAATTAAAAAATCCATGTTACTTGACTATTCTGAAATACCCACTCAAGTTTTTCTTAAAAGCATGGAAGACAAAGCTTTTCAGACTTCAATATTACTTACAGTAATATACTACTTATGTGAACTTAAGTTGGTAAAAAAGTTTGTGACTGTACTGAATTACCTCCATTTACAAAGACCATCCCATTTCAAACATAACATTCAAATGAGTTTGCTTCACTATAAAACTCTCATCATTTTCTAACGTATGGGTCCAATCATGCTGACATTTGTCTCATTTTTTACATTAACCTGAGCTTATAATTTCATTACAGGAGCTTTGTATTCTGACTGTCCTTGTGGAAATTATCCTTCCCACCTTGGCACAGTACCATCCATATGAGTCACAAGGTATTATAGCTAGACAGTATCTTAGACACTATCCTACTCCGACCTTTTACAAATTTATCTGATTAAGTGAAGCCCTTTCAGAACAACAAAATCAGGTCTAGAATCTAAGACTCTCGACTTCCAGTAGAGTCATCTGTCAACCATACCATTCTACTAATGTCACAATGCAAATAGAAAATAGCATCCAATGGGTCAGATTTATCCATCAATTTTGGCATTTAAATTATTAGCTAGTTTCCTCCAATATTAAATCTGCACTCCTAAGTATCTGCATAAAGTATTATATTAAAAATAAACTACTATACTGAAGGGGAGAATATGTTCTGTGTTCAGTTCAAACTTGTCACCCCTCACTTACCAACAGGTACTGTCCCACCCATGTTTCCTTGCTGCCCCACTGCTCCCTCCCCAGCACCACTAACTGTATGAGCAGTGCTGACCACCAGATCTAAGACAGCCAATTTATAGTTTGGCTAGGAACAACAAATCAGAAGTGGAAGAAAATAATGTTCTGGGCCAATCCATATGTCTGGGAAATATGACTCAGAAAGAAGATAGTACATTGGTGATCTGTAAGGAGCTGAAGCAGAAAGTTCATAGGTAGTTGAAAGAGATTGGAGTGTCCATCCTGGCCCACATGTAAGCTGAACTTAGAAACTATCAGCAAGTGGAAAATGGTTCACATGGAGATCTCGGAGTAAACACACAGAGAGGAACAGAAATGCCACAAGAGAAAACAGCTCATGAGAAGGGTAGTAAGAGAGACTAGTTAGTCCCTAACACTGGCTCAGATTCTGGCAGCTCTCTATTTCCCATAGCATGGTCTTATAGGCACTCCATTTCTTGGGACATGAAACTCACTGCAACCAAGTAATTGAGACTAGAATCATACCCCATGCAGCCTTTTATATGAAGTAGGATAAGATTTGGCATGGGTACTTAATTCAAGTTTTCAACTTCCTAAATGAAATATATATGGCTTTGAACACTCTTTTCCACAGTGTTCAATGCATTTTAAAGGAAAGGAATGAAGGTATATATGGTTAAAATTGCAATATTTCTAGAATCTCTCACCTGGACTTAGTCCATCTCCATATCTAAGTGTTTACATGGGGTGAAGAGAAACTGTGCTCTCCGAGACAACTGGGTCCAGGGCAGAACACAATGTGGGCTGTAGTCCATTGGTGAGGCCTCTGCCTGCCAGGAACACTTTATGTGACCAAGTCCCAAGGCAACCTGGAGACTACATGGCCCTGGACATTTTGATACATGGACCAACAATGGCTGGCCCTTCTGGCACCATGGGGACAAGCCTGGAAGCTGGCCTCCTGTGTGTTAACAGCAGAGTGACCCCCAAAGGTCAAAGCAGTGTAGGCTCCCAAAGGTCACAGCAGTGTACCCAAACAGCTGGAAGGTAAAAACATTTTGCAGGGAAGTTGTGTCTTATTATTCTGGCCAGTGCCTACGTTTCCAGTAGTGCTATACCTACCCCATTGCTGCCACTGTCCCAGTACAGGACCACTCTCTTGTATGCAGCCTACCTGATGGACAAGAGTTGCCTATGCTGGTGTTCGACTACAGTCTCTGCTGCTTGGGCCCATCCCCTGGCTGCAGCGGCTGCTTGCTGTGCAGAGCTCCCTACCGGTTCAGCTGATGCCCTCCTGTGGAATGGACATGCTATGGACTTAATTCAAGTAGGACTTTGAACCTAGCTGGATCCTCAGGCTTGAGTATTATCATGATTTCATTGCTAACTGTATTTCTGTTGTTACTGTATGTTATTTGTCTGGTTACAGCACTCCAGTTTTCTTGCATAGGGGCCACTGCAGAAGATGGGAACACAGTAGATTGTACAGCAAGAATTCTGGAGGTATGAGCTGTGGGTAAAATTACAATATTCCCAGAATCTCTTGCCTGGCCTTAGTCCATTTCCATATCAATAGGTGTTTACAGAGGGTGGAGAGAAGCTGTTCTCTCTTTAGCCCATTCTCATATCAATAGGTGTTTACAAGGCAGGAGAGGCAAGCGTGCACTGATTGAGTGTGCACTGAGATCCGGAAATAGCTGCAGGAGAGGGACAGAGCCAGGCTTCTTGTAAGCAATAAACAGGTTTCTCCCACTTTTGCCTCTTGCCCTCTTTTATGTCCTGTTTAACTTCACGGAAATGAAGTTTTTACAATTCCAAGCAAAGGACTGTTAGTTGGTCCTTGAAATATGAATGATGCTTGGGTGTCTCTTTGTCTCTTCCTGTTTTTTCCCTTCACTGATTTCAGCTTCACTAGTTTATTCACCTTGGGCTGGGAACACAGTTTCCCCCCCAGTGCTAGAGTAGGTATACTTCTTCTTCTTGAAAGCCACCAAAATAAAGTTTTATAAAAAGGCAGAAAATTCATCTAAAAAGAAACTATACAAAATAATTACTATCCCAAGACACAGATATACTAACACAGCAAAATTTGGATCAAACAGGAAGAGACAAACAGATACCCACGCATCATTCATATTTCAAGGACTAACAATCCTTTGCTTGGAATTGTAAAAACTTTGTTTCCCTAAAGTTAAACAGGACATAAAAGAGGGCAAGAGGCAAGCAATCTGTAACTACTGAGCAGAATCATCCAAGTACTGGCACATAAGCTCTAAATAATCAAACAGAAATACAATATCATAAACCACTGAGAGCCATCAAACAGCTCTCAAAGTCAAGTCAAGTCTAAGGAAAGAAAACAGTAGGTACAAAGAACCACCTGAACTTCTAGTTAAATGTAATAAATTAATGTGTTCTTTCTCCTCCCATCTAAAAATTGAATAAATGAGAAAAAATAAAGCAGCACTTGAAATGACACAGAAGCAAATGAGAAAAAAACAGATGAAGGAATTTACAGGACTAAGAAGCGAGACATCCTCAGTAACTGCAGAAGTAAAGCAATTCTTACTACATAATTCTCAAAGGACACAGGAACCTAAACCTCCAGTGACTTCCAAGGATGATGGGGAGGCAAGAGGCTAAAAACTAGACTGACTGAAAGACTGAATAAAAAAGATGGCAGCATGAGAGGAGAGACAGAGGCTTCCTACTAAAACTGGATACAATTAGAAAATTTAGTCGGCGCAACTAATCCTGAGAGAGCAACAGGAAAGAGGACAGTGTCAGACTGCACACACCTAGAGAAAAGAGCAGACCTCACCAAACAGGGTAACGTACCAGAGCTGTGGCTCCACAGGACCCGAGCCCTTCCCCCACCCCAGGTCACCAGCAGGAGGAAGAGAAATGGAGCAGGGAGGAAGTGGAAGGCTTGGGACTGCTGAATACCTAGTTCCAGAGATCTGCTCTGGGAGCACAAACCTACATTTCATGGTGCTTTCATGAGACTCGCATGACTACCAGGTTGGAAAGTTAATACAGGCAGAGTTCCTGGGGAGACTGGAATTCTGGCTGCTGGTGGAAAGCAGGGATCCATATCCGGCTGCTCTGGGACAAAAACTTATACCTGTGTGACCGGCCCACTGGCTCAGGCAGTGGAGACAGGCACAGCAGCCGGGAGGCAGGGAACAGCTCTTTCCTTCCCCCAGGCACCAGTACCGCTCCCCTGTGACCCCAACATTACTTCAGGGGCCGAGCAGCTCCAGAAAAGAGCTTCTGGGTACTAAGGGCGCCATATACAAACATGAAATGCCAAAGGAACCTTGTTCAGAGTAAAATTATTAATACAACTCCTGAGAAAGATTTAAATGATATGGACCTCGTGACTCTTCCTGAAAGGGAGTTCAAAATAAAAATCATCAACATTCTAATGGAGGTACGGAAAGACATCCAAGAACTCAGGAATGAATTCAGGTCAGAGATCCAATCGTTGAAGAGCACGATGGAGGGTATTAAAAGCAGGTTGGATACGGTGGAGACAATAAATGAAATCGAAACTAGAGAAGAGGAATACAAATAAGCTGAGGCACAGAGAAAAAAAGGATCTCTAAGAATGAAAGAATATTGAGAGAACTGTGTGACCAATCCAAGCGGAACAATATTCACATTATAGGGATATGAGAAGAAGAATAGAGAGAAAAGGATAGCAAGTGTCTTTGAGGAGGTAGCTGCTGTAAACTTCCCCAGTCTGGGGAAGGACATAATCTCTCAGGCCATGGAGATCCACAGATCTCCCAACATAAGGGACCCAAGGAAGACAACACCAAGGCACATAGTAATTAAATGGGGAAGATCAAAGATAAGGACAGACTGTTAAAAGCAGCCAGAGACAGAAATAAGATCACATACAAAGGAAAGCCCATCAGGCTAACATCAGACTTCTCAGCAGAAACCTTACAGGCCAGAAGGGAGTGGCATGAATGTATTTAATGCCATAAAGCAGAAGGGCCTGGAACCAAGATTACTTTATCTGGCAAGATTATCATTTAAATTTGAAGGAAGGAGGGATTAAACAATTTCGAGATAAGCAAAAGCTGAGAGAATTTACCTCCCACAAACCATCTCTACAGTCTATTTTGGAGGGACTGCTATAGATGGAAGTGTTCCTAAGGTTGAATAGCTGTCACCAGAGGTAATAAAACCACAGTAAAGAAAGTAGAACAGCTAATTATGAA